TTAATTATATATATAAGCACTTCCCTGGCCCTGACCTTGACATTTTAAAGAGTGTGAGAAGTTATTTTCTTTTTTTGTTCTTTCTTTTTTTTTTGGAACCAGGGGATTGAACTCAGGCCCCTGTGCTTGCCAGGCAAGTGCTTATTCTATTGAGCCATTTCCCCAGCCCATTGTGAGAAGTTATTTTCTAGGATATTTCTTAATTTGTTTTTTTATGCTGCCTCATGATTAGGCTCAAGTTATACATTTTGGGGCAACAATCCTGCATCCTCCTCAGTCTATCATGTGAGGAAGGCACTTGTTTTGGCAGCACATACATGACAGGAGGCATGTGTCTTCTTGTTATAACTTAACTTTGTGTGTTTTGTTTTCTGGCAGAACCAGGGATTGAACTCAGGCCCTTGCGCTTGCCAGGGAAGCGCTTATTCTACTGAGCCATCTCCCCAGCCCTTGTGTGTTTTGTTTTAGAGACAGGGTCTGTCTGCATAGTTCAGGCTGACCTCAAAGTCATGGTGATCCTCCTGTATCTTTTCCACCAATGAGTCTTTCTGAGAATTTTCCTCAGCTTTACCTATCAATAAATTCAGTTTTCAAGGTCTAAAACCTTGTTGATACTTTTAACTTCTAATTTCACCCAACAAAATTACCTAGCTGATGAGACAACAAAGGCCTACAGTCATATGACAATTACAAGGACAGCTGAGCAGCGAGCACGGCCAGCGACTGACCTTTGTACTCTGGGGTGAACTCCTTCATCTCAGGAGGGAGGGACTCGTAGAAGCGCTGCTCTCTGGAGATGAGAGGCTTGCACACAGTGTGGTCGTCGTAGCGCATCATGCTGCTGTGTCCGCCCACTTGGTGGATGAAGGGCTCCAGGAGGACTCCTCGGTCTCCTGCCCGACCCGCATTCTTGCCATACTGCCCCACTTCCATGGTTTGACAAACACACATTGCGTTGGGGGCCAGTTGCACACTGGGAGCACAGGTCGTAGCACATGGGCCACAAAATAAGAGCTAAGTAGAAGGCCCTGGCAACCTGAAGGCAATAGTCGGTCTGCTCAGCTTCTTATTCTGTCCTACAAAAAAGACAAGAAAAGGGAATCAAAACACATTTTGTGTTGGAGCTACGTATCTTACAGCCCCTAGAGAGGAAACTACCCCTGTTTACTTCACATTCAAAGATGAAGAGACAAAAAAAAAAAGCAAAAGAAATTAATTTTGGTCAAGGTCTCCTCCTGACTCAAAGGAAGGGTTTTTTTTTGTTGAGAAATCAAGTCACACTCATCTCCCAAATTCTCTGCTAATGAGTGTAAGGACAATACAGGAAAAGGTACGCTTGATAAATTGTAAAATCAGAAAAACAATGCTTTGCTTTTCTCAGAGTAATACAGATTTCAGATCTCTCCCACTTTTAATCCGCAGCTGGTAATTTATGGTCACATCCAGCGCCATGCAACAACCCTATCTCTGCATCAACCAGTGGGACAGGGAAAAGGTGTTTGTGCTAAAATACCCTCCTATCATATCAGCTTTCTTGAAAATTAAAACAGCTAACTTCCTTACTAATGAGTTTATTTTTTGAATCAAGAATGTACTAGAGGGGCCGGGGAGATAGCTCAGTGGAATAAGCGCTTCCCTGGCAAGCGCATGGGCCTGAGTTCAATTCCCGATTCCACAAAAAAAAAAAAAGAATGTACTAGAGGGGCCGGGGAGATAGCTCAGTGGAATAAGCGCTTCCCTGGCAAGCACAAGGGCCTGAGTTCAATTCCCGATTCCACAAAAAAAAAAGAATGTACTAGAGGGGCCGGGGAGATAGCTCAGTGGAATAAGCGCTTCCCTGGCAAGCGCAAGCACCTGAGTTCGATCCCTGGTTCCGCCAAAAAGGGGGGGGGGGGACTACCCGCTCAGGCCCCCCTCCTGTCCCTCTCTTGGACAGGAGCTTTCTTTCTCTCAATAAATATATTCTGCTCATAACCTCCGTTTGTTCCTAAAATTCATTCTTTGGTTTTAGAGAACACAAACTCGTGCAGGTCAGGTCAGGAAATCGCTTTTCCCTATGTCATTTGGAGGTTCCCTGTATGGTTTGGAGGTCACCCACCCGAGACCAAAGTTCTTCTCCCTGTATCATTTTGGAGTTTTCCACCAAGATCATTGGACGAAGGTATGAGTTTGCTTTTCTTTCATAAATTCTGAATTGGGACTTGTTTAGGTAACAAATTTTTATGCTTCAAATGTTAATGCTTTTGCCCATTGCTCATAATTAATTGTTCATACTTTGTCTCATATGGTTTTGTCTTATAATACTGTTAAAATTGTTTACAATTGCTTATGCTTTGTCTTTATGTAATTTTGTTAAAATGTTGGTCAAAATGCTGTTGGTAAACCTAAGTTAAAATACAAAAATGTTACAAGTTTATATTTCTTTAATGGGACATTTTAAAACTATTTTGCACTTGCATATGTTGCATTTGAACTGGTATTTCTAAATGTACTGGTATTCCTTGCTTGAATTTAGACAATAGTGCTAGAAAGAGTCACATTAGGAAGCCTCCTGGTGGATTTTTTGTAAACTTTTGTAAAATGGGACTTTTAGCCAGCTCGGACTTAAAAAATATACATGCCTGTATATGAGACATGGGACTCCTTTTGCCAGTTAAATGACATTAGGTCGACAACCGTTCTTAAAAACTTGGAGGACAGGTTTCACTGGGATGGACTGGTTTTGATCCCCCTCTACATGCTAGAGGGAATGTCAGGCCTGCTCTGTTTCAGTTTCCTGCCTTTAACTTTACTCCTAATTTTCCCACCTCTTTGTACTTTCCTTTTTAGAGGCATATAAAATTAGGAAAACTCTGACCATTCCAACTAAGTGAAGCCCTTAGAAAATGAGCGTTTATTAACGCCGAAGACAGAGAAGTCATTTTAGAAAAAGGACACATACACGGTCTCTGGGTCAGATGAGACAAACAGGACTATGCCCGTCCAGGAGGACACATATAAAAGCCATGTCCCGGCTTAGTGTTCTGGGCAGGTCTCCTTCGGGAGGCTAAACCTGAGACATGGTGGAGAGAACCGATTTCTGGGTGACACCAGAAGGAGCTATCTCCAAAAGCAGCACACTTATGGGACCAAAACACATTTAGTGTGAGGGAGGATTCAATCTTTTCTCCTAGGTCTGGTTATCATTTAGGTGCATAAGAGATAAGTTGTGGACTTTAAAGCCTTTAATGTAAAGTACTAGGTAATCTTGTTTAGGCTTTTAACTATCCGTTATAGAACTTGGTCAAACAGTGGTTATTCTGCCAGCTAATAAATGCTCTTAGAGCAGCTGCCACTCCTTAAAGCAGAGGACAGGTTTCCCCAGCTGTTCTTTGGTGAATCCTCATTGAAGCCTATGGCTGATGGAATGTTGACCAAAGAAACTGCTGGATTCCTTTCTGGAGACATCTCTGATTTTGTGGGCCAAAAGAAACCAAGAATGCCTGAGGGGAGAAGGCGCCAAACCCAAAGGTTCCTTGGTGGAAACTGGCTCTTGACCACTGAAAGATCTCCACTTACCTATTGTACTTTCTTTCTCTTTGCTAGTAAAGTAGGACTTCTACCTGAGCTTTTCAATAGAACTATTGGGTCACTATTTCAGAAATAAGGCTGAGACAGTTTACAATATTGGTTATCAGGGGAAAGTTTACATCTGTGCTCTATGTGTTAACTAAGAGTAAGATTTTTGCCAGCTATATTGTCTTTACCAACATGTAAAATGTGATTGCTAGATGATACAAGTTTCACCTGTGAGCTTCAAGGTTAAATCTTGTTTAGTTGCTAGAAATGTTTTCCTAGGTGATCAGATGGAAATCAAATGTCTGGAGATTGGCTCAGTGCACTGGGCCAAATCTCTCCAGTCAATGGTTCTATCTATCTCTAAAGTGATCTTTGTAACCTGAGAAGTGCTCACTTCTGACCTTTTATGCCACAGTTAATGCTTCCTTCTGTAGACATTCAGGTCACCAGACCAATTGTAACTTACACATTTTCAATAAGAGTAAATTGGGGGGCCGGGGAGATGGCTCAGTAGAATAAGCGCTTCCCTGGCAAGCGCAAGGGCCTGAATTCAATCCCCAGTTCCGCCAAAAAAAAAA